GCAGGAATTGGCAGAACCTTGGAATCTAAGATAGGATCCGAAACAGGGTCAGTTGGAATCTCATGGGCAGACTCGCGCAGAATAGCATTGAACATTGCTACATCTAGCCTGGCAACACACTGTTCCATAACCTGTGAAACAAATTAAATTCCAAGTCACCCACCCAAGCCAAGAGTTGAGAACAAAGCCAAAACCAGACTACAGACAGCTCAAAATTTATGAAAGATGGGATATTTCTCGGGCTTGAACTTATAATGTCATGCGTGTAAGACTGAAATATAGAAACTGCAGGTGAAAAGGAAGGGCAAACAACTAGAAATACTAAATACCATTCTTGCAATGACGGGCAAGCAACCACACTCATGACCTCCTGCTCTAACAGGACATAGTCGTTGGAGAGCATCCTGGAAAGCGTTCTTCCATAAGTTGATAGAAAAGCTGCCTTGCTGCTGGTCACCCAAGGCTGGTCCATGCAACCTTCCAGTGGTTTTGTTGGAGGACAAATCCCCAGCAGGAGATTGCATATGTGGAGTCAAAGCCTGAAAACATCAGAACATAGAATACAGTTTACCAAGATAAATGAATTTAAAATGCGAAGGTCGTAACATGAATGTTGGTATAGTTTGTAAGTGAATAAAAAAGAACAAGATTTATATCCCATGTTGGGAAGAAACACTCCCTCCTAGGTGTTTATAGGTATTTGTAGGTGCGAGTTTTAATTGTGTAGTAAAATTAAGTGACGATCATGATAGATTGGCTCTTCTAGTGGGCTTTATAATGCTATTATATGATTGACTCTAAGCCACCCTATATTTGTTTACATTGATTCCCAAACAGTTTGTCTAACAATGAATTAATGAAAATATGATTATTTACTAAATGAAGTTGAGGCCTGGAATTTATTTACTAAAAAAATATGAGAGAGAGAAAAGGGGGTTTTCAATAATTATGGTTTACCTACAAGCATCAACAATAAAATTATAAAATTTACTGATCCTCGTTCTTTCTTACCTGCCACCATTCGGATTCAACCACACGGGAAAATATCCATGATTCAACTCTTTCTAATGCAGCAGTGAAGGTTCCTGTCTCCTGCCAATCATCAGCAAACTGCATAAAACCGTTAACTTGTTTGCTACCAGAACCACCCTTCCATTTCAGTGCTGTAGGCTTCCCTTCACTTTTCTTGCTACCCCCATTGGACTGCCTTGCAAGGGGACTTGAGTGCCGTGAACTTCCAAATGCCTGAGAAATGATCTCCCTCAGCACAATTGTGTTGGACAACCAAAATGTTAACCTTCACAAACAGAACGACAATCTTATTGGTCCACTATGAAAAAATAGCTGCACTTGGGAACAAATTTTAATATAAAACGTGATATTTACTTGCCTTGGAACATCATTACCGCAGGACTTGGAAATCAATACAAGTCCTGAAACAGTGTTTCTGGCAACCGTAGCTCGCTTAACTAGAGTCCAATGCTTACAAGCATGAATGTATAGTCTGGAAAGGCGTCTTGCAGGTGTGTGCACCTTATGTGCTGAGCTCCCATGTTCTGGGACTACAGAATAAAGTGAAATTTCAAGAGCAGCAACTTCTCTGAGCTCTGCTTCAAGTTTCCCGATTCTCATTTCCATGTCTTCAATCCTTTGATTTAATTCTGCTTCATCCTCATGTTCACCATTTTCTTCAGCAGCATCTGTTTCGTTGTCAATTGCAACACTCTGAGTACCATTTGAGGCCTCATCTAAAAAATCTATTTCTTTGACATCTTCTGCAGGCTTATCATCAACTCCTTCAGAAGACTCTAATGAAGGTTTATGAGGAACTCTCATGTCTTTAGAATTCTTATCAAAAGAACTTTTCGAAGTAACTTTCAAAGGCCCTTTATTTGTTTTTGCAGGTTTTTTAGGAGTGTTATTTACTGCTTTAGACCTGGATATACTAGTTTTGCGATCAGATTTCACCCTTGATCCACGCGGAGGACCGCTTTCTGATAAATTCTTATTGGAAACTGTTTTTGGGACTATCGAAACGTTTTCTACTTTCTCACCCTCAGCTGTCACCGAATCCCCTTGAGATGATACAGAATCTTGTGTTGTCTCAGAATCCGACTCATCTTCCTTCCCCTCCTTGGATTCTCTATCTAAGTCACCAGAATGGTCATCTGAAGCCTCATCCTTGTTCACTATATCAATCATGGAATCGGCTTTTGAATCTTGAGGAGCCTCCTCAGACCTGTTGACATTATCCACATAATGTATAACAAAGCTATCACAAACTTCAGAGGGCTCTGAGCCCGTGTTCGAATCACTTACTAAAATAGCACTGGAGTCTGGTTTAGCAAGCAAGGATTTAGATTCAATCCCCTTCGTCGTTTGATTCGGTTTACGGTCTCTCCTTTCAGTTTTTCCCGAGCGCTTCGACTGATTATTACCGGGAGTTCTTCTCTTATCACTCTCTTTCATTCCTAACTTGTCTCACCTCCTCCCTTCCACAACAAATGAGCGAGCTGCGGCCAACAAGAGAAAATATCATTAACCAACCAGAAAATAAATAAAAAATATTAATTAAAGTTCAGATGGTTAATACTATAATCCAGATTCATAATCACACCTATCTATCAATCATAAGCTGACTCCCTCGACTTGTAACAAGCAAAGGAAACTCGTTCTAGTTTCTGCAGAGCAACGCCTGCAATAAGAAAGCAAGTTTCCATAGTTTTAGAAGCTAATATGAATAACTGCACTGACCACTCGCACCCCCCAAAAAAAAAAGAAAACGAAAAGCAATAAAACTAGCTGGCTTAAAATAAGATAAAGTGAGAATAGATATTTCTGAAGATGAACGACACCGTTTTTATTTTATTTTCACATAGATCCTGTATCACATACAAAGCCAGTTGTTCTCCATTGAAAATAAAAATAAAACACAGATAAAAAGAGCATCAAATCCAATCCAATTTCAAGCATTCACTACAATCAATCACCTTCAAAAAACCAGATCTACTACACCATCACTTACTTCTCAAACAAACAATAAATAATCTGTAACTGTAACCTTCTAACAAATCGAGAAAATACAATGCACTTCGTCTTCTCTAATTAATGGCTCCAGAAACGACTGGGGAAAGCTAAGCAGCTGATGTCGCGGTTAAAAAACAAAAGTAATGAAATAAGAAGTTACCGTATCGTCTTGTTTGCTCAGCTTCCAAAAAATGCTTGCAGAGAAAGATAAAGAGAGGCAACAATGATCTTCCTCTCTTCGGGATTATCACTTGTCTCTCTATGTGGTTAAAACGGCATGTGAATTGGTAAGCTTTATACTACAACTGGAAGAGAGAGAGAGAGAGAGAGAGAGCTCCAGCAATGAGTGAGTGCGGGAAGCTGGCTGGCATTTAAAAAGGTGAGGGCATCATTTTTGCACGGACATGTTTATGACCGGGAAGAGGCTGTCGGTGGAGGGAGGTGACTGGGGATAACCAGTTCGGGGTTTGACGCGTTACGTGGAAGATTTTCTGGGTATACCTAAACTGCCATCTCTCGTTGTTTCACTATTAGATAATGTTGGATAAATTTTATGTTTTAAAGTATTTATTTTATTTAAAAATATATTATTTTTTTAAACAAATTATTTTTAATATTAATACATTAAAATAATATAAAAATTAAAAAATTAATTTTAACCAAATACTTTAAAAAAATAACAAAATAGTAATTCAACCACCACGATGCTAAACATATTCTTAGATTTATAATATATATTTTTAACATAGTAAGATTTACCATAAATTTGTGGATCAAAAGAATACATGTGATACCAAATTTTACATAATTAGACTGTTTTTTTAAGCATTTTAATCAAACTTTTTCCTTTTTTTTTTTTAAGTTGGTGGCATTTTTAATTCTCTTTATAGGGTACTAGTTTAGTTAAAAGCTAGTTATTTATGTTGAACTTAATGAAAAATTACCTTTTTACAATATTCAATCACAGTAAAACCCAAACTTCTTTAACCATAAAAAGATTTGAGAGGGATCAGATTTTACCAAGTTTAATCTTAGAAATCTTGAATTAATTTTTTTGAGTAGGTAAGTTCAAAAATTAACTGCGATTTAAATACTTTTGAGAAATTGTCTGAGAAAAATCAAAATAAAATGAACGGATCGTGGACCAAACAAGGCCATGATGGTAGAAAGCAAATAGCTTGGGAGGAGGAGGGTGTTTCGGGCATTTAAATGTTCATGACTTTATACAGCCATTGATTTCTCTGCCTTTCAGGTCAAAACAGCAAATCTCTTGGAAGATTTTGTTTCCCATTCAAGATAACCAAGGGCCACTGCATATAATTTTCGGTCTTAAATAACTTTAATCCCATTCTCTGATTGCTTCCCGAGTATTAATTACTCCTGACAAGTCCAGATATGTCTGACTGGATGGATATTGAGATCCATGGTCTCCACATTGCCATCAATAGTCGTCCCCAGCTCAGCGAGTTTAGTCGCTGTTTTGAAACCCATTGGAATTATTTGTTTTTTAAATTATTTTTTTATATTGTTGTGTATTGGTATTAAATATATTTTTTAAATAAAAAAATTATTTTAATATATTTTAAAATAAAAATTATTTAAATAACATTCACCATACTTTTAAATAAGATTTAAATTAAGTTATTATTAAAAAATATAACTTAATTAATTAAATTATAAATTTATTTTTTAGAAATCATTAATTCTATTCTTATAAATTTTAAAGTCACTAAAAACTTATATATTTATTAATTTTAAAGTTTATAAAATTAATTGAAATGCATAAAAATTAGTTTAAATATTCACGTTAATCTAAAAAATAATTTAAATTAAATTAAGTTAATTTTATTTTTTCTAAAAATTAAAAAACTAATGAATTTTAATCAAATTATAAATTAATTCAAATTTATTATTGTGTCCCGTAAAATCAATTCCTTTTTATATTTTATTAAATTTATACAGAATAAGTTTTGAATTGATTGAGCCAAATTTAATAATAATAATAATAATAAATTTTTATTTGTATAAATATTTAAATAACTTATATATTTTTTAAGTAAATTTACAAATTTTAAAATTAATAAATGTACAACCGTAATGCCATTAGCAACTACACACGCCACTTGATTTAGTTTTTTTTTTTTTTTTATCCTGGAAGTGTTAGCTGCTGAAGGTTCAAGATCAGTCCCCTCACGTGGAAAGGGTGAGTTTAGTCATGCGACCACCTCAGCCCAACTGTCCAAGTGAAACAAAAGGTAATTTCATGATAAAAAGCTGCAGCTAATTTTACAGTCCTTGTATTTGATAAATCATTGGAAGTATTGAAAGTGACAGAAACGAGATGATACTCATCTTCAGGTAGCTGTTTTCGTGGTAAAACCATTTTTCCTGATTTTTAAAATTGTTTTTTTTTTAAGTTATTTTTAATATATTAATATTAAAAGTAATTTTAAAAGATAAAAATATATTGTTTTTATATGTTTTTTAATAAAAAATATTTTAAAAAATAATCATTGTCATGTTTTCAAACATTCTCTTAAATTACCCTAATTAGATAATTTACCCTGCTAAACATTAATTAGTGTTTATTTGTAGATGCAGTTATTGTTTTTTGTATTTTTAGAAAATATAAAATTAATATTTTTTATATAATTTCAATATATTGATATTAAAAATAATACATGCATACATACATTTGGTAACATGATTAAAAATGTCTTTTAAAATATTTTTAAATTATTTTAATATTCTTATATAAGATTATTTTAAAAACACGAGAATCACAATATTGGACAAGTGCATGTTTATTCCCAAATTATCACCGATTTGAAATTATATATATATATATATATATATATATATATATATATATATATATAACTGAGGCCCTCATATCTTGGACATCATCCATATGGTCCTCATCTCAAAAATTTTATCTTTAAAATTATAAACGAAAATGATGATATCTTTTTTTTTAAATAAAAAAAATATAAAAAAATACACTTTAAAAAGTACATTGAAAATCAAGTGGATCACAATGTCAAAAAAGTGACTAAATACATGTTTATTTACCAAGCACCACAAAATTAAAAAAAAAAAAAAAAACTCTTATTGAGTCGCTCATCTCTCTTTAGAATTTATTAAAAAAATGATGACACACACACATACATATAGAATTGTGTGTGTGTGTATAATACCGAATAATTTATTAAAAGCTAGATCATACTATAATTTCTATAGATCTTTTATCTGTGTCTTTTGATGTATGTATTCTTTATTTTGCATTTAAATCTCTTTAAAATTAAAGTTGAACCTGTTTATTGCAAAAAACTTTTTCTTATTTTAAATTATTTTTTATTGTTTTGATGTGTTATTATAAAAATATATATTTTAAAAAATAATATAATATTATTTTAATATATTTTTAAATAAAAAATACTCCAATAAACAATTTTTACCTCATTCTCAAATACCCCTTAAATTATGAATACTAAATATTTTGTGTAATCTTGATATAATCAAGGTTTTTTTTGTTAGTGTAGTTAAAATTATTTTTTAAAATATTTTTTATTTTTAATATTAAAATAATTTAATAACATAAAAAAAATAAAATTAATTGAAACTCCAGTGCAAATTCACTTTGTGTCATATTCTACAAGGCCACTGAATGTGACTGACAGCCGAGGGCACCGTCATTTGTGTCATTTTCTACAAGGCCAGCTGAACGCACCGACGATGACTTTCTATTTGAGAGAGACCCATCGTCTTTAGCCTAAGGAGATCTCTCTGCCTTTCATGTCACCTTTACACAAAAGCAACAGTGTAGCTAGAGGAAGAAGTAAATCTTCGCCTTTCCACGAAGCCACAGTTTAGCTAGAAAGAGGTGTACAATTGCCCAAATCTAGGATGCATCCAATTCGCAATCATGTATGGATCTTTGTGGCAAAAACCCTAAATTAAACCCTATGTTTATTTAGAACGAGTTAAGTGGCGGTCAGTATTGATTTACCATCGTCTAAGAATTTCGATAATTATTAATAACAAGACCTGGTACAGGTTCTGCTACCACAAAAAAACACCTCCTGGTCCTGTAAGAGATGTGCAGGACAGGTATTGAGGGTTTTTGGTCGGGCGACGTGGGACTTGTTTTTTTTCTGCTGTTCCGAAATTTAAATTTTTATGTGTATATTTATCATCTTTAAAGTAATTTATATGTATATTGGATTTATAAGGCATTCCGTGAACCATAAAATTAGTGATAATATACACAAACTAACTCAAATATTCATATAAATTAAAAACAAAATATATAAAACAAAAAATTATGTAATTTTTATAGTTGTCAATTCTGATATGGAAACTAACCTGGTTAAATAGCTACACCTCAAATTATACAGATTGACTAGACAATTCAAATCAATATAAATCAATTAAGAAAAATTAAATATTTTATAGTTTGTATTAAAAAATAAACTATATAAATATAAGCTATATATGTTATAAATAACAAAATTTAAAATATTTTTTTAAAATATTTTTTTATCATTTATTAAAAAGATATTATGTTATTTTTTTTAAGTTAAAGTATTTAAACAAAATTTTTTTAATATAAATTGAAAAAATATAATTTTTTTCTTGTGAACATACAATATATATATTAAATATCTTCAAATCTCAAATTGAAAAAATAAAATATTTTTCTAGTATTTATACAATGAACTTTAAAAAAGATTAATAATTCACTAAAAATATATATATAAAAAAAGATCTTTAGTTAAGAGAAAAAACATATTTGAAAAAAAATCAGTTCCTACTAGGTTTTATAGGGTCTCTCGGGTCATGGATCGACCGAGTTTTGCCAAATTTTTTCTTAGTTTGATCTTATATCTTGCCTGAATTAGTCAAGCTATAAAGTCGACCTATCAAGTTGATTCGTATTTAATAATTATAATAATTTTTTTATTTTTTAAAATTAATTTTACCCCTTAAATAAATTCTTGGTTGTCAAACTAGATGTGACAACTATTTTAGTAAAGAATTTGGATTGTTAAATTGCAAGTTATTTAATTAATTATTTTTATTATTTAAGAAAATTCTTTTAAATTGTCTGACCAGTTTGATCAACCTAGCCAATTCTATATTTTTTTAATTCATCTAAAACCCTAATCAAATCATGTTTTGAATCCTAAATTTTCCGGTTCTTAAAAGGATAGGGAAAAGTTTAATAATCAAGGTTCAATCCACGACCAGCCACCTGTTTTGATTCATATTAATTGGGAAATGTTTAGGGTC